TGGCTCGCTGACGATGATATTTGTCTTCCTATGCGCGACAAGAATTGCCTTAAATATCATAGCTCACTGCACCGAGGCCAGCGCAAGACTTTTTCATCTTGCACGTCGTATTTATAAAGTCGCTTAAAAGCTGGCATTTATGTTGGAACTATAGAACTATAGAAAAGCTGCGCACCGTTATATCGGTCCAGCCGTTTATAAATTAGTCAACACAAAATTCTCCTATTCCCCTATCCTGCTTTTTGCGATGTAAATCCTCGAAAATCGTGGCCAACACGTCGATGACAGCCAAGGGAATTGGGAGAATAGGGCGTTTCCCCAGAGGCCAAGGGGAGAGAGGAGATCAGGATTTTTAGCGGGTGTGTATGTTGTCCGTCTGTCGTCGCAGCCGCTGCCGGGCGGGGGGGGGGGGGGGGGGGGGGGGGGGGGGATAATCTCGCACTAACTCCTTACAAGTAGCAAGAGCAGCCCTTTTTAAAGTCGCGTAACGACCGCAATGGCCTCGATCTACGAGTTGGCCTCGTCGAGGGGCACGTCCTGCCCGGCCCGGATAGGTCATTTCCGCGGGAGCCGTGGCCAAGATTGGTCGAGAGGGGGCTCGGTGAGGCCCCGCGAACTGCGCTTCACCTCACGAAGCACAACGAAGTAGCGTCGGCCCGATGAAAAAAGAGGAAGGGGGCCCCCGCGTTATGGGTCGCGCGCTACGAAAGAGCTAATAAGGTAAGGTGACGGTCAAACATCGTCGCTTCCACTCCTCTGGGGGCTTCCCGTACCCGCTCTTCGCACTTCTCCCCCATCTCCCCCTAATCAATCGCTCCAAAATCACCCGCCTTTGATTGCACACTTAATATCCTCATTATTTGTTATATCGCTATTATTGCTGACCTTCGGTTTGTCGTTACGAATATGTAAGCGAGTGGTAGGCTCGCGCGTGCCCGATAATCGCTCATGCCGGAAAAGTCCCCAGGCGCCCCATATTTGCAATAAGATAATAGTTTACTTAAATATCCGGCAGGCGAGCAGTCAGCGCGTTACATTATCATTGGCTTGGACTTGCCGATAGATTATTTCGATCGTGCCTTATGCTAGGGTTAATAATAGGGTTGTCTAACCTTTGAGTTGCAAAAATGTTTCAAGATCTTCACGATCACGATCACAAGAAAATCTTAATGAAAGCTTGGCTGGTCGATAATTGATTTACTTAAACTCTTCCTTTCCTTTAGGCTTGCCCATCGCCTACTGTCTATGTGGCTTTTGCTCCTGCTGCTACCGCTACTCGATTCTAATGACTGCCAATTGTCCAGGAAACGCAATGCGATTTCAAGCAAGATCGGCACGATCTCGCCTTTACATTTCATTTTTATAATGATATATTACAACTTTAATCGCACAAATTTGCGGGTACTTAAAGGGCTTCTCGAAAGCTTAGATCAACAGCCTCTCGTCCCTTACCACGCTATCATTATTTACAATCGGGATACATCCATTTCATCATCATCATCATCATCATCATCTTCTTCTTCTTCTTCTTCTTCTTCTTATTCTTCTTCTTTCCCTTCTTTTTCTCTCAATGTTTGCATTGACGATTTGTTGGGCTAATCAAAACCAAAGACTACTCGAATTTTCTTGTTCATGGTCCACCGATCGAGGGGATGAGTCGTTGGCTTCGTCATCGGCAGCGATAATAACCTACGGCCGCGAAAACTAATTTCAACGAGAACCAAAAGCCGGGGAGCCACGGCAGGCCGGGCATCGTCCCTGACCGTTCCTGATCGTTGACTCGCACATCGCCGGGTCGCCACACGTTGCAAGTAACAAGCGATACACGAGTATCGACCGCGTGCGCTTCGAATGAGCGATCGGCTGGGATCGGTAAAGATGGCGCGGGATTGGCCGAGTGTCTGCGGCCCGCTGGAGGAGCCGACCAATTCGCCTCGTAACCTCGATCGGAGCGAACGAGCGAGCGGACGGGCTCTGCGAAAGTGGAGGGGCGCAGCAGTACGGAGGAGCACAAGGCGTATATTATTATGCCTCCTTCCACGAAAATATCGGCCGAGAGCAGCGGCAAAGGAGTCGCGGCCGATTGTTAGCCGTCACTTCCGCCGAGAATCCCCGACACGTGCGCTTTTCCTTCTCCTTGGACGTTTTGGGAGGGTACGTACGTGCCCGGCCTTTCCAAATAATTCGCAAAAAATTCGCTTCCGAAGTGAAAGCTCCAATTATGTGTGCATTTGTGCGAATTGGTCGTTCGGGGATGGGAGGGGGCGGAGGGTTGTGGGCACGATTGTGGGATTGATTAACAGCTGTTACAACGATCCGTAATCATTGTTGTTGTGTGCATTTACATTAAGGAGTATAATCATTGTGTGGTTGAAGTGAATAATAGAGCGAGGTCGGTGAATTTCTTCGGTCGTTGGATCGGAGGAATTTGGAATGCCATTACATCGTATAAGATGCTCTACTTGGTATTGCACGCTATTATTATCAATCAACATTTTCGTATAAAGTCCTTTCTATTTAAATAGTCATTTAAGACAATTATATGCAAATCGATCAGCATTCGTATAAAAAAAAAAATAAATAAATAAAAAATAAAAAATAAAATAGGGAGTGGGGAATAATTTCGTCACTCGAAGAAACTATAAAAGAGGGATGAAAATTATTGCATCGAGAATTTAATGGATTAATTATAGGGGTCTCTTTATGCGTTACGATGGCTTTAAATTTCCAATCGATAATTATTATAATTTCCTATTAAAATGTCCAATATGGGATTGTTGTATAATAAAGTATTAGCTGTGTACGGAAAATACGCTTTCGTCGAAGTGCTTAAAAGAAATTAATGTCATCGATTAAGTCGTCGATCGGCTTATTGACGGTAAGTTGAAATTTTCAAACGTAGAAAACTTTAATGATAAGAATTTCATTGACAAACTGTTATTGAGATAACATTTTGTTAGGCTAAATGGAAGCATTAGATGATATTTCGGAACAATTGTTAAATTGACAATGAACACTTATTAGAAGTAAAGTCCAATCACACGTAAAAAAACTTTTTTGCATTTACAAAAATAAACAATAAGGCATTTAGGAAAATGAGAAAAAAAATTGAGGAAAAAAAAAACAAAAAAAGAAAAAAAAACCAACACAATAGAAAACAAAAAACAAAAGAACCAATAAAAGCACAAAATCACGTATCACGCAACAAAAATTGTATACGTACATATAAAGTGACAATTACGCACATTTATCTATAAAGTATAAATTTATTTTGATTAAATAACCAGCTGCCGAATTTGGTAATAATACATAATGAAAGCCAATCTATCATTATCGAAAATTCAATATCGCGACATTACTAAGAAAAGAGATTTAAAAAATTTTAACATTCATTATGCCTCGACTTAACTTAGTTAAGCAATAAGAGCTGAAAATCTATGGCTGTTTAAAGTTTTCCTCGTATCGTAATTATTATTGTTAATAACAAATAAAGCCAAACTTACATCATCGCATGCGTTAGAAATGTCGCTAATTTCATCAGGCGTTGCTAACGGGGCAACTTCCTCGCTCTCGTCCTCCAATTTGCTCTTCTCCAAATAATTTTCAAAGTGACCCTCTTGACTGTAAAAATTATCACTACACTCGTTCGTTTTATCTTGCAGACTTTCATCCCCCAGTGCAACGAGACTATCTGTCTGTGTATCTTTCACGGCCTCCTCGACGGTTATCCAACTATCTTCTTGATTGTTAAAATTCGTCTTGAGCTTGTAATCGGTGACATCCACGGTCGAGTGATTATATGCGGAATTCTCTAAATTTTCGTCATTATCGACGAAATTCCCGGATCCCTCGGTCTCGGTAGAATAAAACGAGCATGCCTTTTCATCGACGCCCGAAGCCTCCTTTAATGATATTGGCCCATTTTGATCGAACGCTTGTCCAAAGCCAATATCCTCTTTGTCGTCTTGCGTACTATTCACTTGGTTGCTCTTCGTTTCTTGTTCAATGAAGTTCTCGGTACATAAGCCTTCACTGTGTTGCGAACTCTTCCGAGCTCTGACGTCACACTCTCGATGGTCAATTTCATTGATACAAGCTGAATCATCAGCATCCTCCTCTTCCTCATCCTCCTCCTCATCCTCCTCCGCGTTATCTTGCATATCCTTACGCGTACTTTTCTCATTCGTCTCGTGAAGTTTAACCTTAACGGGGAAGAGATCATCGCTATTATCGTTAGACTGTACGAGTATCTCGTCCTGGAGGTACTTGTCAGCCGATATTACCGACTGGTGACTCAATTCTTTCGACGAGTCATCATCCGTCGTGTCCTCGACGATGCAAGAGTCGCTAAGCGTATTTATCGATATTGGTTGATCATCGTCAAGAAGAAGTTCGTGTTCATCGAGATCCTCGATCGTCGTCATATCGTTATCTATTGTCTGATTCACTTGGCTAAACGCCGCCTCATCCTTCGTCTCATTAGCATCGCTAATGTCCGGACATTCGACAATTTCGGAAATGTCGTTTACATCTGGACTTACGTGTCCGTTTGAATACTCGTAGGGCTCCCCGATAACGGTATAATGCTCTATCTCGTTAACTATGAACTCTGCATTTATGTCAATGGTGTCCTGCCGAGGCTCCAAAATAATTTTCTTTGTAATTTCTGGCTGCGACGTCGCCATCTCACTCGGCTCCTCCTCGTCCGTATCATCGGAGTTCCCTGCGTTCGCGCATATTCTCAGGGCAAGTTCACTCTCAATAAGCTCCTGAAGGCTCTTATCCTCTTGCGAATCTAACTCGTTGCGCGTATTATTCGCTAGGATTAGGTCATCGTCGTCTTCTTCGTCGTCAGTCGGCGAGCACATAGTTATTAGCTTGTTATTACTCGTGTTGCTTAGACCGTTATGGTCCAGATCAATCAAGCCGTTGTTAGATTGCACACCGCACACATCGCTCATTTTAGTCTTGCCAAGGCTGTTTACAGTATTATTACTTACGACGTTCATGGGTTTGTTCTTCGTCGCCACGTCCGCCATTTGTGCAGCGGCAAGGGCCGTCTCGGGAGTCGTACACCTTCACGCGATCTGAAAACCCAGACAGAATAAAACGATTAGTATTGTAATTGGAAATTGTTGGTTTAATTTGTCGCATTGCCGCTTATCGTATAAGATATAAGACGCTCTAACATGTATTATGCCCGACCCTATTATAATTAGAGTTATCGCATTCGCAATAGCGCGATTGCGTCGATATTGGATAGGATTCATTTTTATTAATGCTTTCGTTCGTTAGACAAAAAAGAGTTCAATTTCCGCTCGGTTGCAATACGCATGCCGTTAACGTTGTGAAATAAATAAAGTTTGAATACGATAAGTTGAAGGATCGATCGGCCATAGAAAGATAGACGCTCGATACAATTTGCATTATTTGTTGTGCGTATAAAAGTCGTAATATCACTTTACTTTACATAGAAGTAAATGCAAGTTGGTGGTATTTATGTTAAGTTAATTCGTACGTATCGGCGTGCATTAGTACTTTCATAGCGAATACGCTTTCTTTTATAATGCATAGTTCACAAAAATAATTCCTCGTATGGAATTAATTTCTCTATTATAACCCATTAATCTACATCCGTTCGATTTCTCGAATTGCTTATAATTATCCCTAAGAAGTAGACATTTAAATCAAAGAGGACGCGATTACGACAAACGGAGCTAGGGAAATTGTAGGAAAAGAGTATGCACATTCTTTTATTTCCTAATCGATTAATGATACCATTATGAATCACCAAGCTCTTTAAAGAAAAAAAAAAAAAAAAGAAAAAAAAAGAGAAAAAAAAGAAGAAAAAAAGAAGCAAAAAAAAGAAAAAAAAAATAGCCTTACCTACTTCTAAAGATTACCTACTTAAGAACATTGTCCGGATAATGGAAAGCGACATGTGGTAAAATATGTCGAGAACGGTGCGAGTAACTTTGAACCGTTGGCATGAAAAATTCCGTTAAAAATCACATTGAAAAGCTACGTCGAGCAGGCTGATGAATTTCCACGGCATACTTCGAAAACAATCCGATAATGAAAGATTGTCGATGCTCGCCGTCGTATGGCTAATTAAGTACTATTAGCGCCTTAGGCATACAATGATCGCCGAGTCAGTGCACTCTCGAATAATAATGAACGCCGTTGCGTGGGGCTAAATATAAAAAAGTAAGCGAATAGCGCTTCGCTCCTCACTGTGTGCCAGCCAAGTGCGAAACACATCTCCTCCTTGTCTCCTCTCCTATTTGCCACGTGCGCACTCAGGTTCGTTTACCTTTTTAGCGCGGCGCTTTAATTAAACCTGTTTTTTTTTTTTTTTCATTTTCTGACCTCGTGGATTATTGTTTATTTCTCGGTATCGTATCAGTGCGCACCTCTCGCTCCTTTAATCGCGTCGGCAAGCAAAAACTACATTGCCTGCAAATTTTATCCGTGCCCAGTGTGCAACGTTCAAGAAAGTGTCTACGATATAATTTCGGATAATTCGACGATTTCTTAAAGATTTGTTCCTATCCAATGTGAATTTTGACTAATTTCTTACCTACATAAGGCATTACATGAAAATACTGCACATTCTGAAAGTTTAACCTAAATTTTATAAATAACATTAAGGTAAGGCTTGTGAGCGAATATTTTCAGTAATAGGTACACATGTTTCGGTAACACATAATAATAACTATATTAAATTTATCTACATAACAATAAATTATCTGATTCATAACTATATATATATATATATATATATATATATATGTACATAACAAAAATATAATTGTTAGAGTGATAAAGTCCTAAAGTGGATCAAACTTATTAAAAATTATTATAAATAAAACAATTAATAATGCAAAGTAAAACTACCGTCTAAAAATCTTATTATACAAAAATATAATTTAATTTTTATAATTAAAGTAGTATTGGTTAATAATTTTATTGTAGTAAATTAATTTTATTTTATCGTTGTAATTATAACTTTTACACATATTTAAATATATATTAATAATTCAAGTATAGTTGATGCAAAGTACAAGTACATAAACAATTGAAGAAGCCAATTAATTGCTTAATTCCAGGAGGTTTAAAATGAAAAAAAAAAAATTTACCTCTACTTTTGTGTATATTATTTAAAATCTTAATCATATAACTGGACTTATGAATAATAATATATGTTAGAATATTTTGATTGATTATTTAAAAATAAAGAATATTATCGTTTATTCGTAATATAACAATTAGGTGGAATAACATGGGCATTCATGGTAATTGAACAATTATTTTTAATTTATTCTGTCTTCAGTCATTAAAACCTTTGACGAACAGTAAAAATAATGAAATCTCTATATTTTGATAAATTCAAATAATACATAAACTCTCTTGAATTTTACCTTTAAATAAAAAATAACAGCTATCTAACTTTTATAATGTCGATTTCCTATACATACATGATTCTCTATTTATATGGTGAATTAATTTTGTAATAGTGCATTTACACACACATCAATATATATTTCAATTCATTTTAATATGAAATAAATATTTAAATAATGTATATTCTAAATATATAGAGTTAAAGATATCACTATAATAATAATAAGAATATATATTAAAATAAATACAATATACTTTGTTGTGTACATTGCCATTTGCTAAAATAAGCATATGAGATCGAGTACATATTTAAATTATATCAATGGGTCGCCATTTATAGGTAAATGTAACACCTACAACGAGAATAGGCAAAGGTACAATTTAAGATGTGTCGACGGTTCCTTTGTATAGTATTTTAATTAATCTGGAATTATTTTATGTAACGTATAGCTTATAATATGCAATCAAAACTTTGTACATTAATTTACTATACACATATTATTAAAACTATTATTCTTAACTCTATTTAATATCCCTACATATAAATTCGTTATTATTTAATTTGGAAGATTTCGGTTTATAGAATAAATAAAAATTAATGATCGTTGAAAAATTTGCAACCCCAATTTTACTATTAGAGAGGATATTTTAAAAATTGGAAAGAAAATTTGGGATAAAAGGAATTAACTCGACGACATATTTATTGGCTTTTAAACAAATATATATATATATATATATATATATATATATATATATATATATATATATATAGATGTATATTATTTGAATTCAAATAAACAAATTGGAGATACAAATTACTTAAATACGGGCAGAAATATCTATCGTAGTTATAAATATTATATTGAAAATATTTTTGCCAATCTACGTAAATTTCATTGCTACAGACGTATGCTATAAATAATATAAAATTTGTTTGATTATAAAAATTTTTTTATTTGATAGAGTTGTTATGTGAATTTCTTAGAAATTCAAATCGCCTTTGATTATAATAATTTTATATACATTAATTAATTTATTAATTGAGCTAATTATTGATTTCTTTAAGGTTGAGAAAAAAAAATTGTTAAATGTAATTGAAAGTCTATTTAGTATGAATTCTTGCTGGATAATTTAATTCGGAGTTTCATTATATGCAAATTCTTCATTCATTCAATAAATATTTTCCAAAATAAATTTGGATAATTGTCATATTATTTTCATACGCAAACATTGTTATAATGAATTTGTAAGAAAATCCCATTGTGTGCATTGACTTTGAATATAAAAAAATTTTTTTGTCCTGAATAATAACATTCTCAATTTAGGAAAAACGATCGAGGTTGACCCTGAAATTGTTAAATTTATTGAAAATTTGAAGGTAATGGAACTTATAACTTTTACTATATTCAAATTAAATGTTATCAGGATGTTGCCTTACAGTTTACTAACATATTAAGGATTTTCAATACAATTCGTCTGCTATTTGCCACACAATCTATAATCTAAAAGCCTCTGGATCACTCCTCATGTAAAACAATTAAAAAATAAGCAAAACCGGGAGCCATATAATGTTACGCGTGCGTGGAGTTAAGAATTTCCAATAATCCTCGGTCGAGTTTTGCCTTCCTCAGCGCGAGAAAGAGAGCGAGCGAAGGATAAAAAGATGAAGTGCGATGGAGGGGGTGGTAGGGAGGGAGGTAGGGAGGGGGGAGGGGAGTGCAGGAGGGCAGGCGCGTTGTTGGCCGAGAAGCCAAAGCTCCTATTATTAGCCATTCCGGCCCACTGGTATTTATGCATAAGTCGTCGTGCACATGCTCCCGCGCGCTTATTCTCAAAAACGAAACCCGAAACTGATGGCCACGAAGTGCTAACGTGTCGTCGAAGGTATGCCCCGTCAATTTTTTGTACCTTCTTCCTGAATCAATTTCTTCGTATCTGTTATAGGCTTCGTATAAACTGTCGATGTGTCGTTGATTCCTCTCCTCGTAATACTTGCTTCGATAATCTGCATAAGTAATAACTATTTTAAGGGGTGGACTAATATCACAAAGCTTGAACTGATTGTTGTTACCTTGAGATTACGTATTTGCCGAATGCTTTGAAACGAACATTTTATTGAGAAAAATCAGAGCAAATTGGCACTTCATTGATAGGAATTTTCATGTTCTCTGTGTGCTGTTTTAGTTTCTATTTTTGACTTGAGCTTACGTTTGCTTTGAATATAGAGTAAGTATTACTTGTATGTCAAACTTCCGGTGCTTTATGATTGACACTTCTAGTGCTTATGAATTATATCTTTAAAGAATGTAATTTATATATTATATTTGATAAATCAATATACATATTAGTCTGAATATTTTCTACTTACTCATCAATTTTTATTTACTGATTTATACTAATATCCTATATAACATCCTTTCCAATATCTTTCTTTATAACATCTCTTTTACATTTAATAAGCGTATGAATAAATAATTTAATCATAATCTCCTAGAAATTATGAATAACATTAAATCTTTACTAATATCATAACTCTTTCCGGCAAATTTCAAACTAAACAATACTTTTAACTCGATGGCTTTAAATTGAAATATTGTAAATATTATTAAATCCTCGGCTTTCTTATTATATAATATTCCATTTAGAATAATATCAACAACAACAATAACAACAACAACGACGA